ACATGTGAGCTAGGCACAGTGGCTCACACTTGTAATCCCAGCACTTTGGGAGGCAGAGGTGGGCAGATCATGAGGTCAGCATGGTGAAGCCCTGTCTCTATTAAAAATACAAAATTAGCTGGACGTGGTGGTGCATGCCTGTTGTTCCAGCTACTTGGGAGGCTGAGGCAGGAGAATCACTTGAACCTGGGAGTTGGAGGTTGCAGTGAGCAGAGATCACACCACTGTACTCCAGCCTGGCGATAGAGTGAGACTCTGTCTCAAACAAAAACAACAACAACAACAACTAAATAAAAAATAAAAATAAAAGAAGACATATGGAATACTGGATGTGTGGGTTGGGGGGAGTGAAAGAGGAACCAAAAAATGTAATTCACATGGATAAATGCTCATATATAGAATAAAGTATCTTGGTCTGATTCCAATTTCCATGTCCCCAGGAGGACTGTAGCATACTTATTAGAGTCAACCCCTATGCACTTTGGTTAGAATTTTAGATGCCATATCAGGTACGCTGTGGAGGTGTCTGAAGACAAGCATCCTACCTGTTGCTCCAGCCAGTCCTTTGTACACATGAGGTGCTTAGGAAATGTTGCTCGCTTGCTTAAAGTCAGATCTTTGGGAATTGGGGAGAGGAAGTTCAAATTAAACCTTTGGCAACACACGTTTTATTGACTGAATCTTTAGACGCCTCAGACAGGTGCCTGATGAACTTCAAATTAAACTCTAAATTTCTAAAACTTTGCTGCATACATACATAAATTACAGTGCAGCTTGCATACCTGAGAGAGATGGTTTTGCTTTTTTAAAAGATATTTTCGGAGTTACAAGAAAGAATTCCTTTAACTACCAATCCCAGAAAAGGGGATTTTGATTTGGCCACACTAAGGTGAATGTTTAAAAAGTAGAAACCACACCTTCCCTACTCCCAAAGGGAAAGTAATCCCGGGGAGTTCTGTTAAGAATAGGTACCTACTGTAGTAAAGTCCTTTTTTAAGGATGAGGATCAGCAAGGGCTCACGTGCCCAATTTAGACCCAAAAGAAGTGGGGGCAGCACACATCAAAAATGAGAATCCTTCATAGCAGCTCCTTTTTGTTCCAGGAACCCTCCTAGAGCAAAAGATTTCTTGAGTCATTCCCTCAGCCATAAAAACCTTACAGCTATTCTCAGTGAAGAAAAAAGTGAAAAAGAAAGGGGAATCTAAAATAGCTCTGGTGGGCGCGGGGTGCCATCACTGGAGAAAAATTCAACGATTGAAAAAAATTAGAATTCAGCAATATGTGAGAGCTGGAACTAAGGTGATGAAACACGGGGATGGCAAAGGGAGAAAAGAGTTGGGGAATCACACTATCTGGCGACAGAACCACCTCCTTTCTGGGCCAAATGCTTGAGCTGTACTTCCTGACCTTGCATTTCCAAATATTCCTGGGCTCTGTCAAGGCTGTAGCTGGTGCGCTGTCTAGCCCCACAATGACATCAGCCCTGGAACCAGACAGGCTGAGATGTTCCTTATCCTAGGCCACTCAGAAAGGAAACACACACAGCATGATGGATCTCCCCCAAAGACTTTGATCACATATTTGTCAGTCTTGGAGCTCTGTGGCCTTGTCTCAGCAGTTCCTTTTTTCCTTGTGCTAACATCTTTTCTGTGAGAAAAAGCTTTAAAAATAAAATTTTAAAGAACAGTAACACATACCCATTTTTTTTTCTTAATGTCTTCAAAATGCAGATTATCGAGTTTCCCATGAGCTCATATGTCATTTTCCCCTGACAGCCTTTGATTCCCAGCTTCATCGGTGCTGCATTTCAACAGGCTGTCTCTAACCCTGCTAGAATGTCTTCCTGGTACTTGCACACAGTAGACATCCAGAGCAAATTTGCTGAATGGATTATTGTTATGGGTGTATGATATGAGCCGTGGGTAACAGAAAACTCTTCTGAAGCCAAAGCATGGGCGATGAAATGATTCTCCATGGTCTTTGAAACATAGTAATGGAATGAGGAACTGTTTGTAAGCAATTTTATTCTAACAATAGTTTTGATTTTGACTGACATACGATACAGTTTTCAATGCAGGTGAGGCTAGCATTCATGTGTTAAATACTTCATATACTATGTATGAAAAGGTTTGAGGTATTCAAGGATTCATGTGCAGAATATTGCTTTTAAATTTATTTTTAACACACTGCCAAATACCCAAGCCAAGATATATGGTATGGGAAAATGAAAATATTAAATTGTATAAAACAGTGTCTAAATTATTCCTGTATTTATCTCAAGGATTATATATCTTGACTTGGGAGAAATGTTTTTTTTTTATTGTACTAATTCAAGTTTTCTATTAAATATATTTGAATAAATGCTTCAAAGTATATGGTAAATCATTACCTGTTTTTATATCTATTATATTGCTAGTACAATTTTTTATTTTCCAGGGCTTCATATGTTGATTTTTGGAGGACATAAATTGTATCTGAAGCTTAATTGGCCTTTTATAAGTACCATAGATAACGATGCCCAACTATAGAAAAGATCATTGTACTTGAGCATATTTCTTAGACATATTTTCATGCTGGCTTTAAAACCATTCTGACTTCTAAACATAAGATATCTACAATCTATCTTATATAAACTTCCGCCTTCCCCCTTTCATCCTCTATCATCCTTAAGAGACTTTCAATCCTCACATTTTTCTCTTCTGACTCTCCTATAGGCAACCCTGAAACAAAATGACCTTTTGTAAAATTCCCTAGGGTAAGGAATCTCCAAGTGGAGCGAGCCAAACTATCATTTTTATCTCTCCCAGAAAGAGTTTTCTTTTCATGCTTTAATTTTGGGCCAACTGACCTAGCATTTCAGATTTTTAAAACCTTTGGCAACTTGCCTTCCAGGGCTTATCTAAAATATTCTCTCTACCCCTCCAACACATTTTCTCTTGTAAGTTTAGGGGCAAAAAAAAAAAAAAAAAAAAAAAACCCACAGAAAATATGTATAAAAAAAAAAAAAAAAAAAAAAAAAGGCAGTGGGAATAGTGTTGAACGGAAAATAAGCGTGCTAACCTACCCTGTGTTAGCCTGACAGACTCCATCTTGCTGAAAGCCAGAGAGACTCCATCTTAAACTCCGCCTCACCCCTCCTGCCATTTCTCCCTTGAGTGCATACCTGGGTCATGCTACTGTGCTGGGTCATGCTGTGCGTAGAACTATAGAGGCATATAACCATTGTAACCATATCTTGCTTGGCAAGCCCACTTGCTGTTGTGAATACCCCCCTTGATTGATTGTATGGCAAGTACTGAATACCCCCCCCTTGGTAACCAGCAATCATGGGAACTGCTTGTGTATACCCTCCTTGGTAATCAACCATCATAGGAACCTTCTGCCTCCTAGTCACCAGCCTCCTTACCTAACTTGCTTGTTCTGCTTCTGTAAATTCTGCTTCAGCTAGGCTCCCCCTCCCCTATCTTAAACAAGGTATCAAAAGGAATCAAGCCCCTTCTTCGGAGCCGAGATTTTGAGCGAGAGAGCTCTCGGTCGCCGGCAGTAAAGGACTCTCAATTGGAACTTAAGAGTGTGGTGCTTTCCTTCTGATTTGCTCGGGTGTAACATAAGAACATACAGTTGACACAAATCTGTTTTAGCCTTTGGGCCTTTGGAGTACTAGGTGTGGGGAAAAAGAATCATAAACAACCCTCCCCCTACCCCCTACCTCCTAAAAAACAGACATCATAAAGCAGGGCTCTCTTTGATGAAGTAAGTCTCTCTCGACACTGTGGATCAGAAAAGGGTAAATATAGAGATAGGAAATCCAAACAGTGTCTAATTCCAAATGAGTTTCACTTCAGCACTTCTGTACTTTGGTTCATGGGTTCCTTTATGCGTTGGACATTTTTGGAATCATGAGGAGAAAATATTTTAAAAATTATAATCTGTGCATACGAAAAGGTTCACTTTTAAAGGCTTCATCTGATAATTTTCACAGATGAAATATTTCTAGGATATGAATATCTTCTGGGGTAGGTAAAAGGGAAAAGCAGAGGTGAAGGAGAAAACAGACACAGACAAAACAGTAAGAAAATGTTGGTATTTGTTGAAGCTAGATTATGTCTATATGGGGTTCAAAATACCTCTCTACTTTTCCATATACTGTATTTGAAAATTCCTATAATTTCAAAAAGGTAAAAACTTTATGATCAATTATGATCCATAATTTTTAGTACAAATCCTTTTAAAATATGTATGGAATGGAGTCAGCAGTATTACTTTTAGCTGATTGTTGATTAGAATCACTTTATTTTCCTTGCAAGAGATTTTATGTTCTATTCAAAAGGATGGATGCAACTGTGTAACCCACATGGGACCATAAAACCATATTTATGTATATCCTGTCATTTTTTTCTAACAGAATTTTAATCTTTGGTATGGAGCCCATTTTCCCTGACACACACACACACACCCCTTATTCTCAGCAATGGAAAGGTAGTGTGCTAGAGTATCTCACAGTACAACCCTTTAGACAGGCTTTTATTTTCATATATACTCTTTTCTTCCCCACAGGGATGGCATGAGGATATTTCGTCACTAAGTCTAGATTAGGGAGGTTAAAAGAAACCCAATGGTACGTGGGTAGAAGAACTGTCTGGTTACAAAGCCTATTTGTTGGTAATTAGGCTGTGTGCATGCATGTGTATAGTTTCCAAAGGATCAAAAAAATAAAAACTCGGGAACATTCATCAAATCTGAGGTGTAAGTTTATACTTTAGGGAACAGTCTTAATGAAATCACTGCCACAGTTTTGTCCTAGTTCAGGGAAAAATGGTGTGTTCTGATCATTCGTCCCAGGAAGGCACCCCAGTGGCCTACCGAAGCATACCCCCTTCTTCTATTGGGCCGATCACTACTACCCACTTTTGGAAAAAGCAACCAAGGCTGCCCAGACAATGGCAAATCACAGGCGAACACAGTTTATGGGGACACACCATTCGATGTTCTAGAATAGTTGAAATATCTTACTTTTATTAATATTTTTCCTACTGTTTTTAGTGAAAATGGTACATTAAAGGCACATACTCTATGGCCAGTAGTGTGAACACAAAGAAATATATTTGAATAATATCTTTAAAATATTTCAAAGTTTTATTAAATATTTTTATTGTTTTAAGATCACAGTTAAAGTACTTTAGCATGTTATACACATGACTTACATGTGCAATTTTTAGAAATATCAAATTAGGTATAAGATTTTGAAGAAAGAAATTATATAAATGTGTATATTGACTTTTACTACACATACATCTAAGAAAGCAATAATTCTGTTGTACCATTAAGTGGAAATCATTTATTACATGGCATGTTTACACCAACTCTAAAGAGAACCAAGCCAATTTCTGAAAGCAAAATAAAAAAAAAAGAAAAAGAAAAACAAAACCATGAGCGATTCAGTCATGCTGAAACTGTCAAGAGATTTTAGACCCTGGTGGTCAAATGAAGCTGTGGTTAATTTATGACATGTAAGTAAGCAATTCAAACCTATGAGAAGAGTTTATAATCTGGTATGTGGAGTCTCAGGTGATTTTATTCTTTTTCTGACAGATTCCTGAGAGCAAGAGACTTGTTGAGTGCTAATGAAATGGAAAAACGTTGCTGAGCTCCAGATCGTAAGACTGCCCTACCCCCTTGTTCCACGGCTCTTAGAGCTGAGGCACTAATGTGAGGAGTCAGGGGACGTGAGCCCACCCCTCTGGTGGGCCACAGAGCGAAATCAGTGTTAATGCACGAAACGTGCATGTCTCTATGATTTAGGTTAGAGCTTGTGAGGTAAGATTTGCATTGTGGGTGGAAGAGTTTTGAGGCATTGAATTAGATCCTTGGTACTCAGTAACCAGTTCTGGCCCAAGTTATCAGGAAATCTTTGGAGGGAGTAGTAATGTTCACCAAAACCAGCTCTGTGCATAAAAATTGATTTAAGGGCATGACCAGTTTTGACCACTGACTGCAAAACGAAAACAGCGGACACAGAATTTTTAACCACAAGGTTTCCTCTCTCAATTTAAGAGTATAAATACCACCACAGATTAAATTTGGCCAGAAGAGGAACCTTTTGTTTTTTTAAAAAAAGATGGACATTTATGTATTTGAAGGAAAGGATAGCACATACAGATGGGGATTATGAGGGACTCAAATACATTTGTCGTTCTATTCACGCTTGTTGTTTCTTTGTTCCAAAATGTCAGGAAGATAATGTCCTCAGCGAAACGAACAAAGTTGTTTCATATGGAGTATAACAAACTTAGCTATCACTTCCAAATGAAAGCAAAGCAGTCCATCAAACCCTGAATACTTCGCCAGACACATCTGGTAAGATGAACTGAACAGCTTCTTTTAAAATTGTTAAGTATGCTGTTAGTCTAAATAAGATAATGTTCAAAAATCAAAAAACTCAAAACAAAATCCGTATCTAATTCTTTGGGAATGCTTGTATAAACAAAAGCAACATCTAATTAACAGTTAGTATACTTTTTATAAGGTGCAAAATAAGGAGCTATTTGGGAGAGCTAAGTCTGAATTTCTACACCTACCAGTCACTCTGAATACTTTACAGGTCAAATATAACAATAGCATTTGCTTCTACTGCCCATTTTCAGCAATACACTGTTCTCTCTGGAGCAGGTGGTTTGTGAAGTCAAAACACTGCAGTGGAAAATAGTGGCACTGAAGGTAGAAGCAAAAAAAAAAAAAAGACAAACTTTTGAAACAGGACTTACTGAAATGAACTTTTAAAGCCGAGGTAGCCCATTAGGATTGGCCTTATATGAGGGCTCTGTGGAGCAGTGCGATCAAAGGTGACTCTCCTCCACAGCATCACACCCCCAACATCCCCTTTACAGATGATGGCTCCAGGCCTCCTGCGATTTCCTTCCTTTTCCCAGGCGAAGCGGTGGTGCTTCTTTGCTGTATGGAATGCCATCCTCCAGCCTCCAGCTGCTCGTCTTCAGAACACGAATGATTCATACAGTAGTTTAGCAGGCAGCATGGTCCCACTGCTTCACATTAATGTCAAATGCCAAACTTGGAACAGAGCTTTTTGGTATTTCCCCTCCCCTCCCCACCTTATAAACAAAACATGCCATTCAGTTTTCAGCTTACTCCTGTTCTGTAGCAATGTATCATTAGCTTGAGACTTTACATAGGTGCAAACATTTCCATACATTGAGCCAAAGACTGCAGAGTGCAAACAAAATTTCATCTGACTTACAGTAGCATCTGACTTAATAAGAAAACGAAAGGATTTGAGCACATTGGATTCTAAAAACCAGACCAGTTCAGATGCTCCTTTTTGTTCATAGTGTTCCATCACTGTTTTTTTTCTCCAGCAATTTTGATGGCAGGAAGTAGAATCACAACGATAACGTGGGAATTATTTTAACATGGCTTTGGGACATGGCATCAGTGGAAAGCTCATCTGACAGAATTAAATAAATATATTTCTGATATTTTTGGGAAACAGACTATCAGAATTACAACAGTAGGATTTATCTTTTAAAAGGGATGTTAATGAATTAACAGTTTTGATCTAAAATCTGGGAACTAACCTAATTTGGGGACAAGAACCTGTATTTCCAATGTGGCTGTGGGACATTTCTCTTTTTCCTGATCTCGTATACAGTACCCAAACAAATAAAACTTTAAGGATGTCTTACAGTATTTTTTCTTTCACTCAGCTTCTTAGAGCTGCAGCTTCAGTTACTATAATATACTCTACACACTTCAAAATCACATAGGAAATACCCAGAATAACTAAATAAATAAAAGGCTAAAGAAAACTGGAATAGTACTGCGTCTCCATCTGAGACGAAATCTTCTACTTCCAGCATTGCAGAGAAGGGCGAGGACAATTTTTTTTTTCAAAAGATTTATATACAGGCTTGAATCCAGAAATTAAGGTTAAAAGCATAAATATTGATAATTTCAACTAAATTCAGAATGGTTTTAGAAAGATATGATACAACAATTTAGAATAAAACAAAGCAGAAGAGCATCATATTTTGGTTTGCTTGAGATATATATAAGGTGCAACAACTTATTCTCTTGATGCTGTGGGACAAATGTTAGTGTAGATGGCATTTGCTGGCAGATTAAAAGATACACTATAGCAATCTGATTTTCCAAAATAAAAAAGAATGAGAGAAATGAAATGAAAATGGTAACAAGGGGTGTGGAGGAGAGCACTACATATTGGTCTGAAATATTTGTGCTAACAAATGTTACCTGAAAATAACAACACTCCTCTCCAGCAGATTCAGGGCATGAGAAGCACAATTGCTGAAATCAAGACTTCACTCGGAGAATCGACGAGGTGAGTCTAAGGAACTATAAAGCTTTGCAGGATTTCTGCTACTCTCAGTGCCTAACCGCTTAAAAATTAAGCATTTCTACAAAAAGGTTTGTATCTGAAAACAGTCATATCCAGTTAAGTTGCCCTCCCACCCCCAACCCTGCTTAAGGGAAAAGCCACTGAGGTTTAGGAAAAGCAGATCAAGTAAGATATTAATCACATAGAAAAAAAGGAATCTTTTGTTTTGCTTTTTTTTTTTTTTTTTTTTTAAAAAAGGTCCCATGAATATACAGCCATCTCTTAAGGAACTCTAGTGAAATGTAATCGGAGGACTGAAGGAGGGTGCTCTGGCAAAAATAGATCTATTCTAATGTGTTCTATAGAGTAACAAGTTAGTACCATTGTCAAGGTGCATGTTCTGCACCACACAATTTTTGTTGTTGGTTTTTCGTTTTGGATTTTAGCTCGTTACAATTTTCAAATCACTGCTAGCGAGTGGTCCAAAACTCCAACAGCCACCAACACTGGGACCCAGCAATTTCAAACATTCACTTTTTGTTCTGAAATTTAGAAAATATTAATAAAACAGCATCATAGTAGAACTATTATGCTAAAATCTGGAACTGCTCCCTTGATTTATTCCTACGTGAATGGGCTTAAGCTGTAACTTTGGGCTAATCTTTTACTAATTGCTTCTTCCTCCATGCCCACCAGGAATATGAATTTTTCAGGACATCGTTCCGATGCTTTGCTACCCTCTTTACCTGCTTTGGAAAAAAGAAAAACCTCTATTTGTTTTCAAACCTGTTAGTATGTTGTACATATTTTCCAGCACCGGAACTAAAGTAACATCTACAACCATGAGAAGCTAAACCTAGTCAGTACGAAGAGAGTCACTTTTTGTATGGCTATTAAGTCAAATTACAATTAGAAAAAAAAAATCATTATAATTCAGTCAAGTATAAATAAGAAAGCTAGATAAAACCATGTAAACTGTCATCATTCAGAGATCTAATTCAAAAGCTTCAAACTCGAACTAGCACTGTCAAAATTCCGCCAGTTTGAAAACCATTAAAAATTATTGCTGGAATCCAATAATCAAAATTTGGTAGTTTGTGCTGTGATGCAAGAGTGGGGAAATACTTTGTGCTATAGAACAAATACCCTGTAAAATCTGTAGCCTCAGACTAATTTTGATTTATCACTTTGCATCTGTTGCTAGGAAACAAGACACTGTGAACATCAGGTGGTTAAGTCAATATGTTGAATGTTCTAAAGCCAGTTAATCTACTTGGCGCTGGCATATGTATGGTTGGTTTTACGTTCAAAAGCAACACAACACAAAAAGGAAAGAGACTTGCAGGTGGATCTATGACTGAGAGTCCCACTCTGGTCAGGCATACCTCCCTCATCATTGACTCAATACCTCCTTAACAATACAAACTCGAAATGGCTCTAAAAACCTGCAGTGCCAATTAGGCTGTGCATAGCAATTGCAACCCGTCCAGTCAATCTGTGATAGATGTAAAGGTCTGTAGCTCCAAGTCCACATGAAGTGAGTGTCTTCAATGTGTTTAGAATAGTGAAGTAATACTAAGGTCACTTCTGAATAATATTTTTGTCTTTTTTTTTGTTGTTTGTATGAACAATCCATTGGTCACTTAGACCCCTGTGTAAAAATAAAAGAATCCTCAAGGCATGAAAACATCAGTAATCTGTAATCTGCAGGACTCTTCCCCTGTCTGGGAAAATATTTGCCACAATTTGCCTCAAGCAAATTCTTCATGGTCGCTCAAGGCTAAGAAAAAAATTCAGATTGTAAGAATTGTAATTTTCTCCTCTCCCTCTCCCTCTCTCTCTCTCTCTTTTGCCAGCAAACTACCACTCTGGTGGCAAATATAAAAGTGCAGAATATATGGACCACGAGGCCGAGCATACACCGCTAACAATGGTACATCTGCCTGCCCATGCTGCTAGGAGTCTCTGGAACAGGCTTTTCAATATTTATTCTACAATATAAATGTAGGTATAACCTATTATATAAACCATCTTAGAACTTAAATCTCCATGTACAAAAAAGACTAAGAATATCTAATAATAACTAGTGCAGTGCGTCAGTTTTTGTTTTGTTTTGAAAGAATAACTAGGTAATATATGAAACTAGTTTCACACTCTCTGGTTGGTAAAAGAGATGCTGGATGAGCTACAGTAAAGGCAGCCTTTTACCAAGTTACCACCTATTACTGTCAAAAGCCTTCAATAGAAAGCAAAGCTCCAGGATCATTCTGTTTCTGCTCAATATCAGACAGATAACCTCACCCTCAAAGATTCTGGGTTCTGAGAGAACAAACTGGCCCGGATGCTAACTTCTGCTTCAAGTGAATCTGGGCCATGTGGGGCAACAAGCACTTGTTTGCAGTCTATATTTTCCACCACTTGGACTCACTAGCATCCCTCAGTAAAGACAAGGCTAGGGTAGTAGGTAAAGCACAATGTTTTACAATGAAAGGGCGCTTCACTGGTCAGCGCAGGAAATAAGTACAGGAGCCTGTGGCATTTCTTTTGGCTGTCCATCATGGGTGAGTGGAGTTGATCTCTGACCTCTGTAAAATAAAAAGAAGAAAACAGTCACTTATTATTCAGCATCTTATTAGAGGCAGGAGAGGATGATGAATAACAAGTAAGTGTGTTCCAATATCTTGTTTAACAGTTACTGCTGTTACTCGCGTCATGGAATGAAAACTGTTTTTGCTTGAGAGTTTTTTCTTTTCTGTCACCTTCCTTCTTTTTTTTCCCCCCTTCCTCCTCCTCATTCTGTCTCCCTTCCTAAGATTTCATATATGAATTCCCCTCATACAATTCAACAACATACCCTCTGGCCTGAAATAACTAACCACTTCCATTTTGAAGAGATGAAATCCAAAGTACCAACAGATTTGGGGTAACTCTTTAAGAAGTGGAAAAATTTCAGTCTAGGACTGGGGTTCTGGACAATAATTTTCCTGTTGGTCCACTGATATTAAAAATGATACATTTCTTTTCTTGACTTGCCTGAAGGGTAATACTTGGTAACCTTCAGGTAACTTAGGGCAAATAAAAGCAATGACTCTGGAAGAGAAACAGAGATGGACTGGTACTCAAAAAAAAAAAAAAAAATGAAGAAACAATAAAACCTACGATTGGTCGGCCTGTTGGAAAATGTCAAGGAAGTGGCTAGTCCTATCTTTTTAGAATGAGAAGCTCTGTAGAAATTACCAAGAATTTTGGAGAGTTTTCTCATAACCATGAAGGAAATTGTATTTTTACTACTAATTATGCAGAAGCTAATGAAAAATCAGCTAATCACATGTACATGGGCAGAGAGTGTTTAGAGGAAGAAAACAAGTACTGATGCTGGATTTTACATTTTAACAAACTCTAGCCTAGCTGGGCCAAAATCAACACACATGGAGAGAGAACTCCAGACAGGACTAGGAAATTCATGGAAATTTCTATCATTTGGATAGAACCTATGCCAAACATAGCTGATTTTTCATTCAGCTTTTGCATAATTAGTAGTAAAATTACGATTTCCTTCATGGTTATGAGAAAACTCTCCCAAATCCTTGGTAATTTCTACAGAGCTTCTCATTCTAAAAACATAGGACTAGGCACTTCCTTGACATTTTCCAACAGGCCTACCAGTCGTAGCAAATGCATACTCGCTGTTCTGTAACCTACAATCGTCTGTAGTGCAGAACACTGTGCTGAAAATAGGTGATGTATCAGCAATGTTTTCATCGGGTTGACCTTTCGATACCGTATCTTCTTTAGAGTGCACAGAACAAAAGGAACTATTTCGAGATTCAGCTTTTACCTGCTCTGTAACTATACTCAAGTTTTATGCACAAAAGAAGAAAAATAAGGTAGACAAATTTCGACATTTAGGGGTTTCAGAATCCAAAGATCACTTAATAGCCCAAGATATTTAAGCTTTTAGAAAAGCAAAACATTTTAGAATCAAACCTCTGGATTAATCTATTTATTCACATGTGGATGTTTGTTATAGATACCACCGGTTCAATATGTTTAGCTCTTTGTTCAAGGAGGATGAAATTAAAATGCTATTTTTTACTTTTAAGATATTAAAAGATCCAAAATTTTAGTAAGTAGTAGAAAAGAAAAAAACAAAAACAAAAGTAAAAGATGAAAAGTACAATGTAAAAAAAGATGGGAAGAGGGAGAGAGAAATTGGGGTGAAAGCCCAGCTTCATCAATGGAAAGAGGAAGAAGTCAGAATCGCGGTGGAAGGGGACTATGTACCGCAACTGAGGTTCTAGCTCCCAGCGGAAGGGTCAAGAGAGACTCTTCATGATTTTCTCTGACATGACTGAAGCTTTCCTTTGGCAGTTTGTTAGACAGGGAGTTCAAATTCTGACTTAGGCACAAATTGGCTGTGTGCTCTTGGCAGGTTAATTAACCGTCATGAAAATGGGACTAAAAAAGCCCAGTTGGGAAGGCGAACTCAACTTCTAATAAATACACCAGTCTCTTAGCAAAGGTTTGTTCCAACTCTTTATTTTCTGCATTTTGTAAAACTGTCTTTCTAAGTTAGGTTTCTGAACCTAATGTTAAGATTTTTTCATGGTATGAGTGCAGGTAATGTATTTCCACCCCTAACTCCATGGGCCCCCCTTTAAACTATGAACCGAGTTGTTGCTGAAGTAATACTTAATTCATTGCTATGCGACCCAGGTTCAATCGCATTAGGCCTACAGATAGAAGCCTGGTGGGTAGACCTGCTTTAACAGGTTAGGGCTCAAGTTATAACGAAGACTCTCCAGGGTGATCTGTCCTTCTAACTATTAAGAATGTTAAGCGTTTATTAGATTCATGGCAAAATTCTAGTAATCATTACTGTTCTTTCCAATGGGAGGTTAAAAAAAAATAAAAAGCACCTTTACTCACAGTATTTTTTCCTATACCTGCTACCTAACTTAGGCAGTCATACTTCAGGAACTACTTCATTTATTCCTTCACCCACTCATTTGTTCCTTTATCCATTGTTGTAACAGGCACTAAGCAAGCTGGGAATATAAAGAATAAAACCAATGTTTTGCCTCCAAAACATACTGAAAGGAGACGAAGCATCGACAAATCAATACAACCCAATGTGGTCTGAGAGAGGCGTGATCACAGCATGCCGGAGCAACAAGAAGCACACAGCCTAGGGCATCAGGAGGACTGAGAGGAGAGGACCGCAGACAAGGGTGGGAAGGAGGACAGCAGGTCACCTGAGCAGAGGATGCACACCGCAAGAGCTTGGCCTATCTGGAAAGGGGCAAGTGAGTCGACATAACTGCAGGGCAGGGAGTGCGAAGGACGGGGGTGATGAGAGTGGAAAGGTTCTTTGCTGCGGTTTTCTGCTGATGCAAATTGGGAATCATGGAGGGCTGGTTAACAGAGCAATGGTGTGACCATGCTTACTCTCAGCAAAGAATGCAGGCAGGAGCGAACCTGCTTATGCGGTAGCTTTTCCTAGCCCTGAATTATTATCCCCCTCTCAATTCTTATATTAGCTCTTATTTCCACGATTCACAGGGACACTTAATATTCAGGCAGAGAGCTTAAATTCTCACTGCATGTGTATGTGTTTCTCCTCTATCCTTGACCGTACAACTCTACAAGCGGAAAAGTATCTGTGCGTTGTCTCCCTCAGAGACCATAGTGAATTTTAACAACGTCTGTCAGCTTTCACTTGCTATTAGGAACTTGCAACGTACACGTAAAAAGGAATTTGACTTCTTGGAGATATCTAGAGGCTATTTGTGAGGAAGTACTCGAACTGTAATATGACAGATAAATAGCAAGAAACAAACCAAGCTCATGTCAGGGACTCCAGGTTTACCTGGATGTGAAAAGAGTGTGGGGCCTACAGCTGGCTGCACAAGCTGCACTGGGTTGCAAGCTCTTTTGTACTGAAGACTCAAAGTCTAAGAAAGCAGCTCATCCATGGGTAATACACTTTGAAACGGAATATAAAATACCTGAATTTACAATAGGCTTTTTTGCCTTCCCAAAGGATCCATTAAGTAGCAGAATACCCAATTATACACTTAGAAGTTAATATACTTTCTGTGGGGCTTCCCCGAGTTCAAAGGGTTTTCACATCTATGATCTCGTCTGATGCTTACAACTTCATGATTCTTTGGGGATATCATTATGCTCAATGTAAGTAAGGTGAGAAAACTAAAGTCCAGAGAAAAAAATTACTTTGTAGGAAATCACACAAGAGTTGAAGAAAAATCCAGGCCTCTGGCTTTCATGAGTCAGATAACAAGATGCTGTTTTCCCTGAACTGCACTGTCTTCTGATGGCTGGTGATGGCACCAACACCACCACCACTGGGGGTGTTCCACACACCAGCACTGGGATGCTAGAGTTATCCCACATAACATCTCTATGAAATGACTGCATCCTGCCCATGTTTTTTTTAGAGGAAAAAACTGAGGATGGAGAAGTTAATAATCTTGCTCAAGATCTTTTGGTTTGCAGGTGATAGAGCTAGCACTCAAACCTCAGTCTGCAATGAGATCCAAAGCTCACGCTCAGTGGTCAGATAATACTGCTTCCCTGCTCTCAGGCTTTTTATGGAAATGCAGTTTAGCCACAGGATAACATATTCAAAATAAAATACTTGTCTGACTATATTTCCTGGTATTTTCCCATACTGCTAATTAGCATACACATTTCTGTAATACCTCATATAACCAATAGTGCTCTTGAACCAAGTTTGAACCCCGATGCCCTATAAAAAAATGTTACAAATCACATCAGAGAGGTTGATCTGATTTCCACGTTGCTTCCTCCTTCCACGTTCCGCCACTAACCTGTGCACATTTTCCATGGCTGCCACTTCAGCCAGTGCAGCGAGGCTAAAGAATGCAGACACGGCAGGCATTTCTGGAGTACTGCTCCGGGTCTCCGCGACCTCGGTGTTGTGTGAGCACTCGTCACTGCAGTCTGTCTCAGTTGCTTTAGGGAGATTCCTCTGCAGTTGTTCCTTTGGTTTGTCATCTGTAACAAAAGGGGAATCCATCAGGAGAGGATCACTCTGTTCTCTCCAGAGAAGAGACCCAGAAACTGCTGTGCCAGTCAACGTGAAAAGAGCTAACGTTCTCTACTGTTCACTTTTGCTATCCATTGACTATTAAGGCTTTTGTAGAATGTCTTCTCCCCTGTAACAAAGCTCTTTTATTAAGCTCAATTACAACTATGGACAGCACTGTGCCCTGAGGCTGAGCTGAAGAGAAGCTGTGTTTTATCTGAGGTCAAAGAATGGGTCACTCTTCAAGCAAGAAGGAAAAATGAGCCTTGGCTAAAATAAAACTCAAGGGACTTCTGCACAGGGTCCTGTAGATGTTGTAAAAGAGCCCTTAAAAACCCAACAGACTAAACATTTCTCATGAAGTTGTAGCATGCCCTACTATGGCAACTTGGACACTGGGTATGCTGTGATCACATTAATCAGTTCTAATGGGAGCCCGAGTTGTTAGTTTGTTCCAAAGACCTATTGGAGAGAAGACAAAGAGCCCGCTGGTATTTACAAAGAGGTGGATGAAATGCTATGCAAGTATACCTGCTACAAATGAGTATACTTTATTATGTAGCCATTATAGAGAAGGGAGAATTTTTACCATAGTTTAAAAAAAATTGTAAATATTGAAAATGACTGTTAAAAGCTTTAAATATTATCCATTAGGACACAAAAGTGGTGTGGTGCTTTTCTATGTAAAAGGGAGTGTTTTCTTGTATTTTTTTACTCCTCCTCCAAGTGAAAATGAATGAGGATACGACAATCTACAAAATGAAAGTCACAGAATTCAGATTGGACGGAAAAAGGAAGGAGGGGCCTGCGGGGCTAAACATCAGGACATCTAGGTTTTAGTCCTCATTCTACTTCTACTTTATTGAATGTACTCAGACAAAAAATGCCACCTCTTTGAATTTTATCTCTTATATGACAGGGCAAAATCAGGGCCTTGAATATGTTCTATGTCTCTAACAATCGATACATTCAAAACACACAAAAAAGTAAACAAAATTCATGGACTGTCCTTTAAGCAAACAATTTACCTCTATTAACACCTAGATTAACCCAAATCACATAAATAAAATTCTGGAGGTGCTGAGAGGCAGAAAGGCAACAGCCAAGGCCACTAGTACTTAGCTGGTATAGCACTCCAAGATTTGAGGACCGGGGATCTCAGTATCACTCACTGGCCACACCCCTTGCCTTGGGCTCCTCAGGTCATTCCACTGCCAAAAAGGCTACAAGGAACAGCAAACAGACCACAGGCTATGACTGAAAATGAAGAACTCAAGAATTCCAGAAGCATTCTCAGGCTCCCTGCATGGTCTGAACCCCTAATACAGGAAGTGCTGGATGCATTTTAAACCTTATCTACTGGTTTGAATGCCTGGTAGTCTGGCTTGTAGTGACCTGAATAGCAGATGGTCAAATAATGATTCATCTAGTATCTTTAAAAGTCTAGGATCTCCTGGAATTTACTTAAGATTGTTTTTGTGCATGTTGAGAAAGATAAAGATGACAGTCCTAAAAACGAATTCAGACATGCTCTTGGAAAAATAGCTATGATTTTAAACATGGAATAAAACATGTTTGGGGGTCTGTAGAAAGCTACAGAATAGACTCATTTTTCAGTGAGGAACCACAGTTGCTTACAGTCATTTGCTGACATGGTGGTCATCTGCTTGCTCTGGTTATCTCTGCCTAAAGCAAGCTTGTCCAACCTACAGCCCACAGGCTGCACATGCCCCAGGACAGCTTTGAATGCAGCCCAACACAAATTCATAAACTTTCTGAGATTGTGTGTGTGTGTGTTTGGCGGGGGGAGGTTTAGCTCATTGGCTATTGTTAGTGTATCTTATGTGTGGCCTACGACAATTCTTCTTCCAGTGTGGCCCAGGGAAGCCAAAAGATTGGACACCTCTTGCTAAAGCTCGCTCTTCTTACCCAAAGTACCTCCTGCTGGTGATACCCGGCCATCTGCTGTCCTGACAAGGTGTGTGATCTTGGTTTTCCTTGCTTTTCTCTTTTGGCTGCCCACCAAAGGTTCTTGTGTTGTTGTTGGCTCTGGAGTGTTGAAAATGGATGGAATATTTTTAACCTTATGAACAGGCTCCGTGGTGTTTTTGTCTTCTGAAAATATGGCTGAAATAGGAAATACCATGCATAGTTACACACAAAAGCAGAAAGCACCAACATTGCTCTCAGAAGGAAACATGTCTAAATTTCTGACCCATCTGAATGGAGAATTTACATTTAGAGTTTTCCAAGTACTGACGGAAAAAACAAAACATTGCCCATAACTTGTTTACTGCGAATTGATATTTGCTTTGATAAATTAAATGCAGTGAATTAAGATATCCCCTCTCTTTTACATTTTCTAAGTCTGGATGTTGCACATTGGTGGGGACGATCATTTAGGCAAATATGAGTATATTATGTCCTAAAAGGCCCCATGTCCTGTTTGTAATCAGGGTCCCTATCTGAGATCCCTTTGGCCAAATGGCCTGGAAAGGATGGTTAAAAAAAAAAAAAAAAAAAAAAAAAAATTCTTTTCCTCAGAGGACACTAAAATTAAAGATGGGCTTCTTAACTTTATATTTATGGTTGGGAAATGCTTCCAAGCACCAGGTTGAACTGATCAGAAAAGAAATTGAGGCCTGACTTTCTTTCATGTATATTGACAGTGCAGTAAGGATAGGAGAAACACTGGTGAAGCCAGCATGCAAAGGAAAGAAACTCTTTCATTCACTGGATTCTAAAACAAGGAATGCACTTAGTAAGATAACTTAATGAAGTCCCATATGTCAGCCTGGCTTGTGGAGAGGCTAGTTTTAGGTATCCTCATTGTAACCCCACTAAATCATTTGATAGCACACTCCTGTATCCTGAGTCACTCTGTCAAGAGCAAGGAAGACACTTGTACCACAGACTTTTCTGGTTTACACAGAATATGGATGCTTCTGTCTTTTCTTATATACTCATTTTCTTAGGACTTTACCCCCTCCCGACTTTAACGTAAAAGTAAGACAAGAATGTGTAGATGTGAGTTTAGTAAGTGTTTAGAAGTATAACATAGTTGAGTTTTATAATTGGGACTTAGAAAAAATTTCAGTGACCCAAGGGCTTATTAGCAGAGAAAAGAAGCATTTTCCTAATTTTTAACTATCCAATTTCTTAGGATAGGCATAGAAATCAAATCACTTTTGACGAAGATGAGGAGGATGTGGGTCTGAAAACTAATGTCAGCATGACAAGCCCTAAGTAAACTAAATCCAGAGGAGGCATATCTGAAGATATCTATTGGTAATAAAGCCATATATATATATATATATATATATATATATATATATATAAAATAGTTAGAAAAAAGCTAAAATAAGAGGAAGAAAACTAGAGCAAGAATAACTCAGGGTGTGAAAAAATGAACTTGTTGGTATAAACACTTGCACAGGCCTCATTTAAAATTTTTAATCTGTGTCCTTAATGGATTCAGGTACATCATCAAGACAGAAGGGCTATGAATTAATAAGATTTTTTTTTTTTTTGTCCTGGAAATCATGGCACCTTGTCTTTAAAAGATGTTTGAAAAGAGGGGCTGATTCCAGGCGTCACATTCCAAAACAAGTGGGAAATAATTTCAATTACATCAAAAGAAAGTATGTAAAGCAGAAATCACACCATCATTTGTGGTTTGGCCTTACCTCAATATTGCATAACAGATGGCTGTGTGGAGACAGGCTTAAGATAACAGTTATTTAAAAAAACTGCTTGGCAATGCTCCCAAACACCTTTTCAAGTAAGTAGTCAAAAGTCAGAAAAATATTCCTTTTAAATTGCAGATCTATTCCCGGGTCAAATAGGTCTACCTCAATGGTGGACTAATTTACTCTCAGTTATTATACTTAGTCTTAGAATATTTATACTTTGATATTTAGCTTAACATAGGACAGTGGTGGTACATATTTTAGGACTTTTTTTTTTTTTTTTTAGTTTAAACTTCAATAAAAGCTTCCAGCAAAATAAAAAATAATTTGGTTAGAAAAACCCCAAAGAAGTTGCATGATTCTAATTTAGCCTTAAAATTCAAAGCCTCCTTTAAGTATAAAGAAGCCCAAAATCTGAATGTACAATGAGAATTAAATAGCATCTATAGGACATTCACAGCCTTCAAGATTTCGAATGTCTTATCCAGATCCATCAGCTGTCCCTCTGATTACAGGAGTCTTGTTCACCACTCCAACAGAATCACTACATTGTGGATGCAGTGAGTTTACACTCCAGGAAGAACACTAACCTCTTCCCTTGTCTACTTCCCCTTCCCAGAAAAGTACAGAACATGTAGAAATCAGGGTATACAGTGGGGTTTCAAAGATGGAAAGGTGTATCATATCCTGCATCAGAACTGATTGTGGAAGGAACCAAGAAGGTAAAAGAAAAGGCCTGGATACCAGAAAAAGGCCAAGTCGGGTGGGAAAGATGACTTGCTTTTTACACAGAGACCATGGGGTCATGGAAGTAACAGTCACAGAGAGACCAGAATTCTACTCCTGACTTTTAAATTTACTAACTGCAGGACCATGGGCCTCTGTTTCTTCAGAGATGGAGGTTGGACTATATTAACTCTAAAGGAGCCATCTAGCCCTAAAATAATGTCAGATTTTGCTAATAGGCTACAGTCAGGGATCCGGCCAGGGGCAACAACAGCAGCAGCAGCAGCAACAACAACAAGCCTCCAGTCAGCTCCAGAGTCACAGGCTGGGGAACAGTACTCCCTTGACTAGCACTGTTTTTGTTTGCTTCCTGAGCCTTCAAACGGTCTCATTTCTATTTAATGGTTGTTCATTTTCTAGTTTGTTCCAGATGAACTGGAAAAAACACAGGAAGAAGCATAAGGCACAGTTGCAAAGGGGTTGATTACAAATGGAGGTACAGCTCCCGCCTAAAACCAGAGTGCAACTGGGGATAGCTCAGAAACCAGCAGGCAAAGAGCCTGGGGGCCCAAAGCAGACCAGCAATACTCAAGTCCCAAGGGTCAGTATTTTGGAAGAAAGTAAAGGAGTGAATCAGACTGCAGACCAAGTGGAAGAGGCCAAAAAAAAAAAAAAAAAAAAAAAAGATTATGTCGTAAGTTCTTGTAAGCTCTCCAAAAGAAGGTAATGCCAATTAACCAGAGTCTCCTCTAAACCTACTGTTAGATCAAGATCCAATGATGGGCCCTGCAGGTGATGCACATTTGAAAAAGGTATGCAATGTGACCTTGCTAGAGTTTGGAAGAGGATAAGGGTCCAGACTCATGTTCTGACCCAAGGGTTAACCCCAGAACATGCTGTCTTGTTCGGTGGTTTAGACTGAGGACAGCTTTCAGGATCAGCCCTTAGGGAGACCCTTCCCCTAAAACAGAAGAATTAGGGAAGGCAGATGAGGCTGAGTCCAAGAAGTAGTTTTCTGGGTCAAAACAGTAGATCTGAGTCCAGTGACACTGGCAGAGCAAACAAAAGCTTGGTGGTGAGGGATATGAGATGAAAAAAGTTCTGAGAGGGAAATGAGCACAAAGGCTGAGTACAAAGACAGCAAGCTAGTTCCTCCTGACAACCCCCAGCCTAATGGAAATGTAAGAAAAGAAAGGCTTTGTCGCTCCAAAACAAATTACTTATTTCTTTTCCGGCTTTTAACTGAGCACACAAAACTAGCCGAGCACTGCAGAACAAGTCCACAGGGCTAGTTTTTACGCTCAAACAATAACCATAACACACTTGAAGCGTATCATCTGAGAGTGATAATGCAAGCTCACTCCTGGAGCCACATCAGGAATGCAGCAATAAGAGACTGTCTTGTTTTCCAAACTCTGATCCCAAAATGTGGAGTAAGTTTTTTGGGAAAGCAGCATTGCTCTTGTATTGTACCCCGTGAGGCCACTAGAGTGCTCCAGAGTCATGAATTCACATTCCAACTGGGGTTTCAAACTTGCAATGAAATTATTATAGCCAGATCTGAAATCTAATTGCCTTTGGTAGGTCTCTCATGAGCTGAAACAGCAGTCAGATGCTGAATAGAACACAGGAAAAAGAAGCAAATGAGCCTGATCCAACATCCTGAGATACTTTGCTGAAGTTACACAGGAACTATTTCAAACTTAAGAGATTGAGTTAGCCTAGGCACTGTGGATCGTGTGTGAAATCTAACCATAAACCAGAGTTTTCCTGCCTGTAATTAGATTTATAAACTGCAAAGAGACAAATTTTTATAGAGATTTCCTAGTCCTAGGTTTTTTTTTTTTTTTTTTTTTCCTCTTGTGAAATATCATATCCTGAACCAAAAGTGGGTTAAAAGTCTACAAATAAGAAAAACGGAAAATGTAGTAGCTGATGTACTTAAATGGAGAGATGATTTCTTCCCTTTCTGCTTGTATTGCTCAGGATTTAGTTTCTTACCATGTATTTGGGGCTGATAAACCCTCCTTAATTCACTGGGAATGCTGTCTTTAAAAATATGTATGTATGTATGTATGTATGTATGTATCTACCTACCTACCTTTCTATCTATCTAAAAGCCCCTGTAAACTATAAAGTGATAGGAAGTATTAGTTATCATCATTATTATTGCAATTAGAAACTTCTAGCTTAAGCATGAGCATATGACACTACAACTTGGTAGAAAGATAAACACAGGGGCAGAGGTAGGAGGTAGGTGTTCTTGGTTTATTTGAAAATCCTACCTTTAATTCTAGGCTGTGGACAATTTTTTTAATAGATACATACCAAAATTTCAGGAAGTGGTTTAACAATTTTGAATTTTAAAAGCCCAGGGCTTAAGAGAGATTATAAATTTAGCACTGAAATATATTACAAAGCACCTAAATAGTTCTGAAATTTTGAAAACACGATTGCAAGGCAGCTACACACAGGGTGGTATAGCGAAAACAGTGAACTAGAAGTCAAAATAGCTGAATAGTTATAAAGCATCAGTTGACTCAATATTTCTATTAAAGACATCCGCTACAAACAATTCCTGTCTAACATTTGAGCAGGATTTTAATCTTACACATGCTAAAATTATTCTACATTATTGTTATATTTTCTGTCCTTATATATTTATACCCTCTCCAAGGTGAAGTTTCAATAAGCAGTGATATACTCAGAGATGAGGGAGAGGATTAAAGGCCTAGGAAATTCACAAAGCACATAGTCACTACACAAACAAGTAAATGTTGGAGATAGTAAGAAAATAAAAAACTGAAAGTGGTAACTTTGAATAACCAGTAATTTCTGATGGTCAAATCAATTCCTGTTTTTCCTGCCCACATCAAATGAGTTTGTACCCTATACTAAATAATGGACATGCGTTTTTCAGTGCATATTCTCCAAAAGTTTTGTTTCATATACATTAGTAACACCAACAATAACTCTATTTTTACTAAAGCTTGGGACTGCCTATAAGACTCAAAAGTGACGTTTCTGCCCCAAAGGCAGAAAATTAGGGCTATGGAATATAATACTTCTAGTAACAGAATACTTACTCAAAATACCACAGCAATACAATCATTATCAAGTGTTAGAGGGGAAATAGAATTTACAGTTTGTATATTACTACATCTCATCATTCACCCAATCTCCAATCACACAAAATATATATGTACTTAATACAAACGTATAGCGTAGTTCTAGTGAGGTTAAACAATTTGTCCTACTGAAAAACGCTGATTAGCGGCAGATTTGAGACTAGAACCCAGATTTCCTAATGCCCAGGTAAGTGCTCTTTCTACCACACTGCACCTGCTCTGGTACCTCTGTAGAGTTTTCAGTGTTTAACAAAACAGAATAAAGTACTTAAAACACTATCATTTTAAGTAAAGAGTAAAGTGGTCCTAAATGTCCTTCAAACTCTTCTGATAGTTCATCAGTGCCTTACATTGATCAAAACTGTATGGAATATATTTTTAAAATATACAAGAGCTAATGTACCAATTTGAGGATGTTAGGATTTAATGCTGTGAACAGCACAATTCGTATTTTGTTTTGCCAGTACTGAAGCAGAATATTCCATAGGGGTTGTGAATGTGAGTTAACAAGTGAGCTAACAGATGTATTGCTGGTGTTTTCTGTAAAAGTAAAATTACATGGAAGCCAATGTGGCTCATATGACCTATGTCTACCTAAATAAAAAGTATTTATGTTTAAAATGAACTCAAACTTGACCATTTTCGAGAGCTAACTTAAAAACATGAGTATTTTGGATAAGTGACTTAAGCCAATTGTGCATTTTATTTTTTTCTCATTTTCAGTAAAGGAATGGTAACATATTTGTAAGTCAAAACATGTGGACTAGGTCATTAAGTTCCCATTTCTGGATATAAGTGAATCAAAGGAGTTGAAACAGATGATCTCTAAAATCCCTTCTAGTTTTCAAATGAAGTGACTCCTACAAAAATGTCAGCTCTTTAAAAATATCTGCATTGAAAAAAAGAGAATCAATAGGAAAAAAGAAGAGATGGCAGAAACCGTTAACCATTGCACCATTAACCTTAACCATTGCAGAAATTAGCCTTCACCAAAGGGCTCAATATTTAACCTTAAAGTCACAAATGAATATGGCTGCAAGAAATTTCAAAATCAAATCTGCACCTAGGATTTATAACATGACTAGTTAATATTAGATTTTTCCTGGGCTACCCATAAGCCTTGGGGTGTTCTATTTTAATGTAGTTAGAGGTACTAGGGGCTGGGCTAGGAAAACATCCAGGTCAGAAGTCACACCTGCAGGCCTGCCCATGCCCAGCCAACCAGGTTCTTATTCCAACTCCCACAAGGCATAAGCATCTGCCTGCAACATGAACTGCAATGTTGAATATGTTTAGCTGTGAAAAATTCTAATCTCTGATTAATGCGATTCAAAGGTTATAAACTGCCCTTTAACAGATTAAACACCACGTGATACGCTGTCTGACCCTTGGCAGGAGTCCCCCAAATAGCTGTTTTTTGTTTTGTTTTGTTTTTTTGAGATGGAGTTTTATTCCTGTTGCCCAGGCTGGAGTACAATGGCATGATCTTGGCTCACTGCAAGCTCTGCCTCCTGGGTTAAAGCGATTCTCCTGCCTCAGCCTCCTGAGTAGCTGGGATTACAGGTATGTGCCACCACATCTGGCTAATTTTGTATTTTTAGTAAAAATGGGATTTTTCCATGATGGTCAGGCTGGTCTTGAACTCCTGACCTCAGATGATCCACCTGCCTCAGCCTCCCAAAGTGCTGGGGTGAGCCACTGCACCTGACCCCAAATAGCAGTTTTGATGTGAAAAATAAAAATAACCTACTTATTAACACGTAAGTCTAATGCTGTTGGTTGAACCTATAGAAATTATACCTTTAAAAAACCTATACAACTTATGCCATTTCCAGCTTCGACTGTCTGCAATTAAACAGTAACATTGCTTGTCTTACCTTCTGTAGGGTGAATGGCATCCAAGAAGAGTTGCTTGTTTGACCATTTATCCCCACTTCCTAAAAATGACAGGAAAGGAAAGAAAAGTGAAACTCCACTCTTGGTAGATACCCATGCTACAAAAACAAGATGGTACACAAACTTGAAACATCACACAAATGAAGCTGAAATGTATTTCAATTATTTAATTCTTAAAATGGTATTTGTCAGCTAAAATAATGAGGCTGTACAAAAAATGGATTGAAAACAAAATTTTTGTCTTTTATGAAATATAGCGGTGGATTATTTCTGCAACTTTAATCGAAGTAATCTGAAGATCAATAAAAGGGAATGAAAAAAGCTGACATTTTCACCTAATGAATCACATTTCTTTACTGGAAGCAGAGGAAATAATAATATCCATATACAAAACAAAACCAAGAAGCTGAAGTGGAAGTGAAAAGAAAGCCCAAATTAAGTAAAAGGTTACATACAGGAACACACAGGCACACATGTCCACATACAGGAGACAGCTGCATTGAAAGCCTCATTCAAGAAACACGGAATGCTTCACATCTGGCCATGCAAGAAGGATGCAAATGGGCACCAGATGAGGTGGTTTAGGGCAGTCACAACACTAGCATGCAGGGAGATGCTCAAGAAAGCCAGGCCTACAGAATACATGGCTGCACTGAGCCAGATGGGAAGATTTATCTTCTATGTGAAAGAACAATAGGAGTCCTACGCTATGGGAAGAAAGAGATCTTAAGATGAGCCCTGAAGATGTTTAAAGGCTCATTAAGATCATACCAATGAGACAGACGTTCCCAGTAAAGAGGGGACAGAGTGCAATCAGTGTCTACTGCCTTTTCAAAAAACAGGCACGTGACTGAAGGAGATGGGAACAAGAGGCTGGCAAACGAAAGGGGGAAAAAAGACAGGTTGCAACTTAAGAGTAGAGAAAAGGATCCACAAGAATCCTCAAGTGTCAGAGGAAGTACAGAAACGGTGGCACTTTCACATGAATATGAAACTGTAAGATTTCATGAAGTAGGAAAATGTGGTCATGGTATGAAGGGCTGCTAAGTATGTGAAAACCAAGACTAGTCAAAGAAAATAAATGGCTAAGTGGTCAAGAAGCCTCAGTTGCAAAACGCACCAAATACAGATGAGAAGAAGCAATTTTAGGATTCACACGGGGCTCTGAAAATAGAGACAAATATGGATTTGTATAGGAATCCAAGTGAAGGAGATTTGCAATTAGCTGCAGAGACCAGAAGGAATGAAAACACCGCATCAGGAGCTGATGGCATTGAAGCAAGCACAGGGGAAGACAAGGCAAAGGCAGTGCATGGAAGCATTACTCAAAGATGAATCACAATGGAGGTGACCAAGAACTCTTCACGGAGGATGGAGGGCACCAATACCTTTTTCCGGAACATTAGGCTTCTCCTTTTTGTGCTTATATTTGCTGACAATTTTGTGGAATAAGTTCTTTTTCTGAGACTGGAAAGGACCTACAGACAATATTAATATAGATATATTTTAAATTCACAATGTTTCATAAAACAATATTGTGTATTTTTCAACAATTACACCCTCCTCCCTCCTGTGGAATAAGCAAATTGAGTCGCAAGGAATGTCATCTTGCATCTTCACTTATTTAACTGGTGCTCAGCCCCGTTCTTTAGGCTATTTAAACCAGTGAGATTTTCCTTAGAAATGTATTGGGCAAAGCCTCCATTAAGGCTGGGACTCCCTAAGCATAAACTTCAGATTCAGTGAGTAGAAACAGACTATAACCAATAATAGCAGAGTAGCTAGAGTCTGCAATAGAGAAAAGATTTTACTTTAGACTCCTAAATATCGTGAAGGAAAGGATGGCATATCTGTTTTATCTCTCCAAAGAAATGGATTTTCACAACAAGGATAGCACTTTGAAGACAGCAGTTGACCCGACAGCATTAGATAGATTTCTGGCCTTTTCTGAGAATAATCCGGGGGACAAAAGTGACTTAAAAATAGAAAATATTGGCCAAAAAACTTTATTCTGGGTGGAAGTGGGAGATGTTTCAGATTCTTAGTTTTCTCCGATAAAGAAACAGAATTGAGATTTTTTTTTTTCCAGTTAACAATCAGAAATACCAACAATAGCCCTGACTTCCCCAAAGCCCCTGTGGCATCTCTCTACCTACCAACAGCTGTAACTACATGCTCTGCCTTCTGTCTGCAGGGACCACCTTACACTCCCATCTGGTCAGCGCCTCCACCGATGGCGTAGCAACACCCTCCCTGTCCAGCTCAACACCATCATTTCTGCCTCTCGAATGGGTCATTCCATCAGTATACAAACATAATTTCTTTTAACTTAAGAATGAAAAAGGTGGCTTCTAACCAAACCTTCCTCACCTCAGTTACTGTCTTAGTTCTTCATTCTCCCTGTGGCAGAAAACTCCACAGAAGGGTTGCCTGTGCTGTCCCCAGTTTCTCTCCTTCCATTCTTTTTTTTTTTTTTTTTTTTTTTTGAGACAGGGTCTCACTCTGTCACCCAGACTGGAGTGTCGTGCATGATCTCAGCTCACTGCAACCTCCACCTCCTTGGCTCAAGCAATCCTCCCACCTTAGCCTCCTAACTAGGACTACAGGTGTGCATTACCACGCCTGGCTAATTTTTTGTCCTTTTTTTTGGTAGAGTTGGGGTTTTGCCATGTTGCCCAGGCTGGCTGGGCTCAAGCAATATACCCACCCTGCCTCCTAAAGTGCTGGGATTACAGGTACGAGCCACTGTGCCAGCCCCATTCGGTCTTCAACTCATTCCAACTAGGTTTCTGCCCTGCCACTCATAAAAAACCGCTCTTCACGGGGTCATCCGGTACCCCCATGCTGTGAAGGCCACTTGTGGGTCCTTATTGCACCAGGCTGTTCCTGTAGCTTCTGACCACTACAGCCATACCCTCTGCCTTGAATGCCTCCTTCACTGGGCTTCTAGGATACCACCTTCTCTTATTTTCTCTTCTCCATCACTGATCTTTCCCTCTGCTTACTCTTTTCCCTGACTTCTTAATTTTGGAAAGCTCTGGGCTTGGTCCTTATCCTCTTCTCTATTCTCACTCATATGGTATTTACCTCTAGTCTCAGGGCTTTACAATTGAATAAAGTAAATACCAGCTATAGGTTGAAGACTCAAAAATGCATCACCCCAGCCAGACCTCTTCTATTGTGTGTATATGAAAAGCCAGCAATCTTGTACTATCTCACAAGGACTTAAGAGATCCAGAGCTCCGTTATCTCCATAATCTCATATCCTGCTGCTCCTCCTCTCCTTCGAGTCTCTCTAGCTGCACGGGCCTCCTGGCAGTCCCCTGCACATGTAGTCGCAGTGTTCCTGACTTGAGGGTCTCTGAACCAGCCATTACCCTGCCTAGAAAATGTTCTTCCCCATGATGTCCACATGGCTAACTTCCTGACCTCCTTCAAGGCTTTGCTTAACTATCTTCAAACCACTCTGTATAAAAAAGCAAGTCAACCCCATGCCCATCACTTGATCTCCCTTTCCCTCACAAACCTATTCTTTTAACTGATTTTTAAAAACAGCTTTGTTGAAATATAATTAACATTCCACACAATTCACTCATTTATAGTATACAACTTGTGGTTATATTCAGATATTTCCAACTGCCACCAATTTTTGAACATTTCATCACCTCAAAAAAAAAATTCCAAACCCTTTTAGTATTAGCCCTCCTATAGCTGTATTCTCCCTCTCTCTAAGCAGCCTCAAATCTCCTGTCTCTATAGATTTGCCTATTCTGGAAATTTCATATAAATAGAATCCCATTACGACGTCATTTTTGACTTCGCATAATGTTTTCAAGGCTCCTCCACGCTATAGCAGGTATCAGGGCTGAATATTCCATTTAATGGGTTTAACACATTTTGTTTATTCATTCAACAGTTGGTGGATACCTGGATTATTTCTACCTTTTGACTATTATGAATAACAGTTATAAATATTCAAGTAGAAGCTTCTGTGTGGACATAGGCGTTCATTTCTACAGGGCATATACCCTAGAAATGGACTTGTTGGGTCATGTGGTAACTCTACGTTTAGCTTTTTGAGGACCTACTAGGCTACCGAAGAAAGCAGCTGCACAATTTTGCATTCCCACTGGCAGTGTATAAGGGTTTCAATTTCTCCACATCTTTGTCAACATTTGTTATCTGTCTTTTTTTTATTATGGCCATCCTAAGGATGTGAAATGGTATCTTTCCCACTGTGGTTTTGATATGCATTTCCCTGATGACTGATGATGTCAACTGTATTTTCACATACTTATCGACCATGTACTTGTTACCTTCTTTGGAGGAGTATCTATTCAGATCACTTGCCCATTTTTATGAGCTGTCTTTTTTACTGCCGAGTTGTAAATGTTCCTTATACAGTCTAGATAAAAGTTTCTTATCAGATATGTGATTTGCAAATATTTTCTCCCATTCTGTGGGATGTCTTTTCACTTTCTTGGCAGTGTTCTTTGAAGCACAGAATATTTAAATTTTCATACAGTCCAAAGTATCTATTTCGTCTTTTGTTGCTTGGGCTTTGGTATTATATTTAAGGATTCATTGCCAAATCTGAGGTTATAAAGATTTGCCCATTTTCTTGGAAAGTTTTATTGTTTTAGCTTTCACATTTAAGTCTTTGATCTATTTTATGTTAAATTTTGTATATTATATGAGTAAGTATATAACTTTATTTGTATGCAGATACCTAGTTGATCCAGCATCATTTTCTGGAAAGACTATACTGTTCTCATTGGTTATTCTTGGCACTGTTGTTGAAAATTAGTTAACCAAAAATGTGCAGGTTTATTCCTGGACTACCAATTCTATTCCACTGACCTATATGTCTATCTTTATTCTAGTACAATACTCCCTTGATTACTGTTGTTTTGTAATTAGTTTTGAAATCAACTGCTAATTTTTTATATTTTAAGATTGTTTTGGCTCTTCTGAATTTCTTGAAATTCCACATTAATTTTAGGCTTGTTTGTCAATTTCTACAACGAAGTCAGCTGGAATTCTAAGAGGGGTTGGGTTGAATCTGTAGATCAGTTTGGGGGAGTGGTTCCATCTTAACAAGTCCTCCAATCCATGAACATGGGATGTTTTTCCATTAATTTCTATCATCTTTGTTTCAACAATGTTTTGCAGTTTTCATTATATTGTACTTCTTTTGTTGGTTAAATTTATGTCTAAGTACTTTATTATTTTTGATGCTATTGTAAATGGAATTATATTCCTAATCTCATTTTTAGACTGTTCAATTCGATTGTTCAAGTGTATCAAGACAGAACTAAGTTTTATCTAATGATCTTATAACCTGCAGCTGTACTGAACTCATTTATAATAGTTTTTTGGTGGATTCCTTAGGATTTTCTATATATGAGGTCATGTTATCTGAGAATAAAGATAATTTTACTTCTTCCTTTCTCACCTAGATACCTTTTATTTCTATTTCTACCTAAGTGCCCTGGCTGGAACCTCCACTACAATGTTGAACTATGAAGTAGTGAGAGTGGACATTCTGTACTGTCCCTTTTCCTAGGGGGAAAGTATCCAATACTTTTATCATTAAGTTTCATGTTAGCTGTGTATTTTTGTAGATGCTTTTTATCAGGTTGAGGAAGTTCCCTTTTAATCCTAGTTTGTTGAATTTTTTTTTAAAACATAAAAAGGCATTGACTTTTATCAAATGCTTTTCCTAAAGCTATTGAGATAATCAAATGTTTTTTTATTTTGTATTCTATTAGTAGGGTATGTTACACTAATTGGCTTTTGGATGTTAAAGCAAACTTGCAGTCCTAGGGTAAAATCCCACTTAGTCATGAAGTATAATTCTTATATGTTGCTGAATTTGGTTTGCTAGTGTTTTGCTAAGGATTTCTGTGTTCATATTGGTAAGAGATATTGGTCTGCAGTTTTCATTTCTTGTGATGTCTTTGTCTTGTGAATGTCTTGAATGTCTTTGACATTAAAGTAATGCAGCCCTCACAGAAGGAACTGGGAAGTGTTTACTTTTCTTGTACTTTCTGGATTTACTTGTGAAAAATTGGTATCAATTCCTCCTCAAATGTTTGGTAGAATACAGTGGTGATGCCACCTGGGCCTGGGCTTTATTTTTTTTTTCCAGGTACTTTAAAAATTACTGGTTCAATGTCTTTACTGGTTATACATCTATACAGATTATCTATTTCTTAAGCCAGTTTCAGTAGTTTGTGTCTTTCCAAGAATTATTTCATACATGCTATCCAATGTATTGGCTTTAGTTGTTCATAGTATTGTTTACAATTCTTTTCATTTTATAGTCAGTAGTAATGTCTTTTATTTCATCTCTGATTCTAGTAATTTGAGTCTTCTCTTTTTTTCTTGGTCAATTTAGCTAAAATTTCTCAATTTTGTTATTTTCAAAAGGCTATTTTTTGGTTTCATTGATTTTTCTCTATTGTTTTAATATAAT